CGGCTGCCGAACCACTAATGAGGGCACGAGAAGGTGGCACTGGGAGCTGAGCACAATTGACACAAATTAGAAGTGGCCTGGCTACCTGACGGGCTGGGAAATGAGAAGCAAGCTCAATTATTCAGCAAGGTTGGTTGGTGCTGGTGATTAGTACCCCCTTGGGTTTTCTCAGCATTGCCAAGGAGGGAGGAAAAGCTGTGGGACCTTGTGCATGGCTTTTCCCCTGCAAACATGGGTTGGACCCCTGGCACTGCTGCTTGCGACTTGCCACCACTGCTCTTCTTTCTCCCTTCCAAAAAGGGCAAAGCCCCAGCAAATTATGCTCCGTATGCCTCCTGGTTCAAGCATTGCTGCTCAGCCAAGGGCCAGGAGCAAAGTGATATGAATCAGGGAATCGAGTTGAGGTCCCCAGGCTTCTGCGAATGCTTGGCAATGCACCCACCTGCACCCAAATAGTGCCAGGGCAGGGATGGAGGGATTTACTGATGCACGGGGGAGTCTGCCGATGGGAGCATCCCTATCAGAGTGAGGTCTCCAGGCTCCCTTTCTAGTGCATCCCAAGGCAGCAGGATTTGTGCACACTATTTCTTATTGTGGGTTAGATGCCCAAATTTGCCCAAGGTGCAGTTTGGGTGAGGGGAGCTGGGCTTGCAGGGCGAGTGGCATTGCTGCTGTGGAGCAGCGTAACCAGCTGCAGCACGGTGAAGCTAGAGGAGAGGGCAAGAAACTTTTCAGGAACATCTTTATCTCACGTGCAGATGCGAAGGACCCTATCTTTAGCAACCAAGGTCACTTTGCTCTTACCAGAAGCACCAGGATCATGGGGCCTTGGTAAATGTAGTCGGTGTAAACTCCTGCTCGCTTCCCAAACCAGCACCTGCAAGGCAAGGACAGGTGGTGTCGGGGACAAACCTGCAGTGTGAGTGACCTGGGTTTACTCCTGTCCTTGCACAATCTCTGTAAGTCACCATCCCTAGGGTGAACGCACTACCACTTAAACTGCTGTAGCCACTATGGAATAGCTTCCCTGGGAACCTGGTATATGGAGGTGCATGGGGGCTTGTGGGGGTGTTTATGGGCCCCGTATGGATTTGGGAACTGGTTATTGTAGGATAAGCAGGGACGACCTTACACGCACACCAGTGTGAGTCAGCTCTGTCCCCAGCAAACCCTGCGGGATCTCACGCAGGTGTACCTGTGTCCTGGGAGCACCTTGTTGGGTGGTGTTAAATCAGTGCTGTGCCTGCGTGTGTAGCACAGGGCTGCTGAAGCCAAGGGGCAAAACTGGCCCTGAAAAACAAGACAAGCTGCCATTCCTCTGAATGGGCTCCTTTTAACGTCCCAGTCCGCGTGATGAACTCTCAGGTGCCTGTTAAGACCTCCATTAGCAAGTCTCTGTGAAAATGGCTCAGGCGATGGAAGTTTATATCTCTGCTGGTAGATTAAATCCCAGCTCCATTTAACAAACATGTTGTAGGAGCTCTGTCTTAATCTCGCTTTTCCCCCCCTTAAAAATCTCATTCGCCCTTTGAAGAGAAAAATGCAGCAGCAGAGAGCCTAAAGGTGGGACAAAAGAAAGAATGGAACAATATTATCTTTTTTTTCCTCCCACCCTTTCCATGTATCCTGCCTCATGTCAGCCCTTCCAGGTAGGATCCACAGCCCCTGGCACAACAGATCTCTAGGGAATTGGGATAGAGAGGAGAATGGGGAATGAGAGCAATCAGGCTCACTTCTCGTTGTCGTAGTACAGCTTCCCGATGGCCCAGGCGACGATGATGGGAAAGGGGATACCTGCAGATGAACACAGAGATGAGTCTCAGGGGTGCAACGTTGCCATAAGATTGTGCTGCAACAGGGATTTTCTTACACAGGGCAAACCACCCGGTGAGATGATATGGCCAGGGAAATCCCATCATCCCATCCTCCTGCTCATGGCAGCCTTTTTGCAGCTATTTGGGTGCAAGAAGAGCTGGAGCAGAGGCTGGAGTTGGGCATCACCCATCACTAAAACCTTGGGTACCTGGTGAGTGAAGGGGAAATCCTGGTACTTACACCAGCCGATGCAGATGAACATCCACTTGCGGAGCTTGTCCGTGGAGTAGGTGAGCACGATGGCCGTGTGCAGGTAACAGCCCTCACCGAACATCCAGAAAAAGTTGGTGACATGGAAGTAATTGTAGGCGGCAGTGACCAAGCGGCACCAGACCTGCCAAGGGAGTGAGGAGGAGACATGGAGGGTGAAGAGCAGAGCTCTGTGTTACAGTGGTGAAACTGTTGCACAGAGCAACACAGACCCCAGCAGAGCAATTGAACCCGTGTTTCTTCTAAGCCTGGGTTGTCCTCCAAGCACCAAGCAGCCCTATTTGTCCCCTCAAGCTGCTTTTGTAGCCTCATCTTTGGGATCTCCAAGCTCCCCACACATCCCAGCTGCGGAGGGCTGGGCTCAGCCTGGCTGCCTGGCAGAGCTGCACCTACCACATTGCTCTCGTGCACCTCCGGGTTCATCGTGAGCTGCACCACGAACCACGTGGCGTTGCGTAGGATGAAGGCTGTGATCAGGTTCCAGTGGATGATGTTCCTCAGGCAGCGGATGCTCCTGAAGAAGGGGGGACAAGGGACCATCAGAGTGTGGTGGGTGTCTGGGGGCCGGCCACGGGTGGGCTGGGGGACAGGGCTGAACGTCTTTGTTGGGACCCCAAGGGCGAACTGCTGGGGCCATGCCCTGGGTGAGGTGGGCAGGACCAAGGTGGTGGAAGGCACCAAGGAGGACCCTCTGCCTTCATAACCGAGTGCTTTAAAAAAAGCAGCAGGAGGAAAATAACCCTGAGATAGGCATGATCCCTCCAGACTGGAGAGTAATGGGGGAGGATATGGCAAAAGTCAGTGGCTGGGTCCATCCCCAGCCCAAGGGCTGTGGGGTGACCTCTCTGGGCTTGTCCCCCCAGCAGGAACATAGCAGAGGTCGGGTCACTCACCGAAGGCGCATGAAGAGGACAAAGGCCACGAGGAGGGCCCCCAGCGAGACACAGTGCCCCAGGTAGTTGATGATGACGGCGATGTGGTAGTGCAGCTTGCTCTTCTTCTGGCGGGGGGAGATGGGGAGGGGGTCAGCAGCAGCCCCGGGTACCACCGCAAACCCACCTCCTCTGCCACATCACCTCCGAGAGCCGCACTGCAAATTTTAGGCCCCTTTTTCAGAGAGTAACTGGATGCCATCTGGTGCAGGACAGTGGTGATGGGGCTGGAAGGGGATGGTTGGATGGGGCTAACGCAGACAGGAGAGGCTCCAGCCTGGCCCTGCAAAGGGCTCCCACGTTTCATATCCTACCCTTGCCAAGGCAGCTCGTGGTTGCTGTCCCTACACCACCCCTGCTCAGCGCTGGGACATCCCCAACCCATCGTCTGGGGAAATCCTGCTGTAATTCAGCCGAGCTCGCTGGCAACATGACATCTGATGTCTCAATTCATTCCCTGTTGCCCTGGGGGCAGCTGAGAGGCTAGGATGAATTTGGGCAGAGGGAGCGGGGGATCTAGGGAAGGTGTGAGTGATAATTAAATTAATTGATTGCTCCTGCTGTTAGGCACTCATCCAACCTGTGAATTAGCAATTAACTGAGTGAGAAAACCACTCCTGGCAAGAGATATCAGCATTTTAAATACCAGAGGTGGTATCAACTGCAAATGAACAGCCTGTATCTCTTCTCCTCTGCTCTGAGGGGTGGCTTGACCTACTCAGAGGCTTGTAATTCTTGGTTCCTCATTTTTTTTATCCCTTTCAGCTTCCTGAACATCTCCTTTATTTCATTGCCAGCAGGGAGGGAGGGATGGGGTTTGCACTGAGTGCTTGTGTCAGGAGGGAGCTGGAGGAGGGCGATGAGGCTGGAGAGGATGCTGATCTGCACCTGGTGACCCTGAGGCCAGGAGACCTCACACTGCAAATCCTCTTGAATTTTTAACAGGGAAGGAAACTGTTGTGGCTTTATTTTTGGCAGGGAATGAAAATGCAAATCAAGAAGGGGGTCAGATGTGCTGCATGCAACCTTATATCTGGGATGTTGCTGCATGCCCAGCCCACAGCTCCCTTGGGCCGTTCCTGATCTGGATGCTGTTGCCCTTCAAAACTCCCTTGTCTGTCCCTCACCCTTCTGCCAAGAGCCCGGCCGAGGGACTCCCGAGGTCCTACCTCTTCGCTGAGAATCTCCTGGCACTGGGAATAGTTGACCCGTGCTGCCCAGCTCCCGTTAGCGAGGCACTCCCTGTAGCCATTATCTGAAAGAGAGGGTGCCCATCAAAGGGTTAACGATGCATAGGGATGGCCACGAAGATGTGACCTGATGATCATCACTAATGCAGGGGCCAGTGGCATCTTTTGCTTTGAAGCCAGCTCCGATACTGCCTTGGTTACAATTGCAGAACCAAAATCTTGGAATATTTCAGACCCACTCGAGGGCTTTGGGTCTGCACCAGCTCTGCCCCTCGGTGTTTGGGGACCTCGATACCTCCCACCGCTGAGATGCAGTGGGAGCAGCACGAGTTCAATTCTCCTTTCTCCCTCCTCTGCACCGTTTGCTCGAGCGATCACGTTCCATCCTGCTGCAACAGCAGTGTGAAGTTTTCACGTCTCTCCCTGCATTAGGAGCTTTCTTTGCCTCCCAGCAAGGACGGAGAGCGGCAAGGCTAACTGGGAAGGAACGGCCACGACAGCCCTGGAGCAGTCTCTGATTAACCATCAGCACCGGGGTGATGCCGGCACTGGGACAATGCTGGCTTCTGCTATTAACAGGAGAGACGGTGAGCCTCGTCAGGGCGATGGGATGGGACAGGGATGGGAATGGCTCTTAGGCAGGCACAACTATGGATTAATGCAAAGAGACTCCTGTAATGGCATGAGAGGCACCAGGAAGCAGGAGCCGTATGCATGCGATCTTCTACATCCCAAAAGCGTGTGGGATGGAAAAAATTGATGTTTTCTGTGGGAAACAAGATGTTTCTTTCATCAAAAGCAGCACTTGAGTGGTCAGAAGCTCAACTGTGTGCTAGGAATGGCTTTGGGCCCTTTTCAATCGCATTCGCTTCGTCTCCTGCTCCCAGCACGTCATTGGCAGTGACAATGCAGCCACCCGTGCTGGGGGGGGATGAGCTGCAAGGTCCCCCCTGTCCTTGCTCAGCTGGGGGTTGCAAACCTCTGTGCCACCTCCAACAGCAGAGCAGGCTGACTCCTCTTCCCCTGTCCCTGGGGGGGAGACATCAGCCCTCTCCCCCTTCACAGGGGCATGTCCGGCAGGACCTGCTTATAAAGCTGCTGCTGTGAAGCCACCCTCCCTGAAATTGGGGATACGTAGGCTTTTTTGTTTTTTGGTTGATGGTTCCCAGAGAGGCGCCCAATGAGCTCTGTACCCAGAGATGTGTGGTCACTTGTGCCCCCACAGCCCCTGATGCATGGGGCTCTCTGAACTCCCCCATCCCTCATCCACCATGTCCCCACCAGTGCTGCTTGTCTTACTCGTGGTGTTGTACCGCACGCCATAGAAATATTCGGGACAGGGGCGAGCTACCAGCTGTCCCACCGCACTGCGGGGCCAACACGTGCCGATCAGGTCTACCGAGGCGTTGCACTGGGGACCTGTGGGGAAAAAGGGTAGAGGGTTAGTGGAGGTCTGTGGGCCACCATGGGCCACCTCCTGGCTGTTGAAGGGTCAAGGTTTGCCCAGAGAGCTGGGGCTGCAGTCTTGGCTGAGCCAAGCGGTCAGTGCAAGCTCAGACCCCAGAAGAGCCTCATGGCAGACACCAAAGGGGTTCTGTGCCAAGATTCCCCAGGAGCTGGTTGATCCATCCTGGCCATGACTATTGTTCTGGTCCTGTCTGAGCACCTGGGTTAAGCTCAGTTCTGGCATAAGCCTGGTTTTGCGACCTGGCTTCCAAGTCAGCCTGGGGTTCCCTGCCTCTGGTCTTCCATCCCTGCTCTTTTCTTCAACCATGACTTTGGCGTCCAGCCCTGCAACAGCCAGCAATAGGGCAGCTTTTCTCTTTCCCAGTGGTGCCTCCAGCCCGGTGTTGGAGGGATGCTCCTCAGATCCCCTCCAACCCTCTCACACCTCCTGGCTGTAAGATCTCCTTCCTAGCTCTTCCCGTTGGTCTCTTCCAGCCTTTCCCAGGAAGAAAACGCCAAGTCTGCTGCTGCTATTTCAGATTTCAAGCAGGACTTGTGTGCTTTTCCCAGCTACACAAGTGTGCTAACGTAGGCATTAGGTAGGCCAGATTGCAGGCTTTTTTATGTATAATTTGTGTATATTTAGAACAGCATGTACTGTAGCTAAATATGTCCTAGCTACATCTCAAAGTGAGATAGGAAGCACGATGGCTGTAATATCCATAGAATACAACCCTTGACTGGCAGCGGATGGATGGGCAGCAGACCCTGGAAGGGGCAGAGTTCAGTGCAAACCCCTCCTGGGTACCAGGGATGTTTGCGCTGTCGCCGCAGAGACAGGCATTGCCATTTCCTAAGATAAAACACCCCAATTCACAGCTCGCTGGGTGCAAGAAAACAACATTTCCTCTCCACCCAGACTCGATGATTATTATTTGAATGCCTTTCCTGAAACTTCCTATGGATAGAGCTGGCTAAAGAGTGACCGAACAAAAAAAAGCAAAATACTGTTTTATTAATATGATAAAGGTTTTCATGGGGGTATATTTGTTTTCATTGATTATCTGAAAATTTGACTCCTTGGTTTCTTGGGATGTTCTCAGAGCAAATTTTCAGTGCAAAGAAAAGGGGGGGTTTCTTCAAACGTCTTTGCAAGGGAAAGAAACTTCCAAGCATGTGAGCTGGGGAAGCATCAGAGCATGGTGAGCGTTACCTTCTGCCTTCCATAGCTTGTAGTGAGAAATTAATTTTAACAATGACCTTTGCTTTTAGCTTTGCTAATGTGTATGGTTGCTGTGGCAACCTTCACTTTAAGTTAACTGTTTTAAGCCTGTATTTCTTAGGAAACAAGGTGCATTTAATCACATGTAGTGTGCGTGTCTGTGCTTGTCTGCATCCATTAGCATTTGTTGAACTCTTTAGCTGTTTTGACCCAAATTTAACAAAGAAATAGAGAGTCACAGAAAATGAAGTCCCTGTTTAAAATTTTATGATAATATTCATCCAGATAGAAAAAAGACAATGGGTAATTGCTTCAACTAAGGACCAAGTTAAATTGCAAGTGCTCTCCCTGTTAGCCACCTGGGAATCCACTCAGGTGAGAAGCTGCTTGAATATCTGGAATAGGAAAAGCTTCACTTGGAATAACGCAGCATACAAAAATGAGGCTTGCACAGTGCTAATGCTCATGCAGTCATCAAAACCCCTCCCTGTGACTGGTGGGGCTGAGCACAAACTCCATTTTCTCCCCATCCCCTCCTGCCTCAGTTTCCCTCCTGCATCCCAGGGGCTGTGCTGGGGCACAGATGCAGACTGCTGAGGGAGGACAAGCTGGAACACTCAGTAATTAAAATCATCAGAGCCAGGGAGCAGCAGCAACAGTACTCTCCATCCGTAAAACAAAACCACAGCAATGCCATTAATAACCAAAAAACCAAGACAGATTCATGGAAATGATGTGGTCAGACAAAGGTGGCATCGTTCTGTTATACGTCTGCTCAAGTCTGGATTTAATATCTCCACATTTCTCCAAGGCATTTGATTTAATGCTGCTTGGCACTCTCATTAAAGCGCTATGGACACCCACTGGATGACAAACCGAGTGGATGAGTCTTGCAGTCCCACCACGGCAGGGATGCGGGGTGAAGGTGGAGCAGCATCACCAGGAGCTCAGCCCCCTCCTCGTCCCATGGGTCGGCGTTACGGTGTGGGGTGACGTTCGGGCTTGAGGGCTGCAGTCGGGTGAGCAGAGCTCAGGCTTGGCCAGGATGTAGGAGGCTCCTGGGACTTCACCCTGTGCACAGCCAGCTTTGCCCCAGCACCTCTGTAGGCAGCATTTTGAGGTCTGTCCCACCAGTTTTTAGTCTGGTGGGTGGCTGTAATATTTTTCCTGGGCTCACACTGAGAAATGCTTGATGAAGAAAAGCTGCAGAAAGCAGATTCTGCTCTTTCTGCTCTCTCCAACATATGGGGAAGAAAAAAACCCCAAATCTCTTGCTGAGGAAGGGTTAAGTAAAACAGCGAAGGCAAAGAGTGCCGTGAGGGCTGCGACCTCCCGTTTGCCCAGCACCACCGTCTGCTCCAGCTTCTCCCCAGTGGCATGCGGCTCCCAGCATTTCGAGCACTGTTTAGCATGGAAATTATATGTGTCAGTGCTAAATGCTTTCATATCTGCTTTGTGGCGCATCCGTATTTGCGGTGGGATTATTCTCCCAGGTTCTGCAGACATCTGCTCCAGCTTTCTCAGCACCGTTGCCTGCACAGTTTTGGTCTTCGCAGCTTTACAGCAAGAAAGGTCAATGAATTTCCTACCTGCACCCAATCCCCCTGATCTGGCTCCCTCTCACACAGAAACATGGCATTTGGGGTAGGAAGGAGCTGGTCCTGCTTTGAGGCGCAGAATGTGGCATGGAGAAAGTCACTCAAATCCCTTGTCCCCCTTTTCCTTTGGGTTACGCTGCTTTGAAGCAATATAAAGCATTTCCTTTCCTCTGAATCAAAAAAAGTGCCTGTCCAGGGACTTACACTGAGACAACTATATCACGATAACTGTCTCAGGATAACTGTAGCAATATCCCTTCTCTTTATATAAAACATCCTTCTCCAGCCTGCTTCCACCACTTGCAGAGGCCCCTGAGATGGCTCCAAGCTAACGCCATGCAGCCGTGTGAAGCCTGGCAGGGTAAAGCTCTCCCGTCCCAGCTAATCTGCCAAAAGATTTTGAGCAAATTTAAAGAGGATGGAGCATGTTTATCCTGGGCCAGCACCACCAGACGTGTGGCCACAGCGCTCTTGAGCTGATGCCAGGAGGTCTGACGCATTACTGTTCCATCAAACCATTGCTAGGATGGTATGAAGAGGATGAAAGCAAAGGTTGTGCTGATATAATCATGCTGGTAAACATGTCCTCATCTCACAGTGGGCAAAGCTATGCATCAGCGCAACGTCCGAGCTTGCTGCTGTGTCTCTAGCAATGCTACAGATGCTCGAAGGGTGAAGCCTCTCTCCCCTTGTGCAATGCAGTGCGGCCAGGAGAGACGATGGAAATCTGAATCACAGGCTCATTCCCATGGTTGAGAGTGATGAGGTTATTTATCTAAGGTGTCTCAGGAGGCTGAGTAACAGCTGAAAGGTGTTCGTTCATATCTCTACCTGTCTTGAGCTTTTACTCAACCACAATTATCTCTGTCCATCCCTGATGTCCTCAGTGAGTGCATTGCTGCTGCTGCTGCCTCCTGGGCAGCCTCCGGCTCCTTGAGAGTGTCCCTGCTGCAGCATGTGGTAATCAGGGCTTCATCTCCACGTCTAATCAAAATATAATTGCTGCAGCCAGTGCGCAAAGGTCGTTTGTCCCTCCCAGGCAGCTCCACCGCAGAAGGAGCCATTTCACACCTTACGGCCCCAAAACAAGGGCCTTTGGGGGGATGCTCTTCTTTCAAGGCGCTGATGTGCCAAGGAGGGGTGGTTGGATCCCACCTATGGAGCCACTCTGGTGCTTGAGTAACACCTTGAGGCATTGAGGGAAATGGCACTGGGGGACACAATTTATGTTAACATGGGGTTGAAACTGAGGCGGTGGAGCTGATTGCTTTCCCTCTGAGTCAGGGTTGGGTACTCAATATGGCTGGGAGCAACGGTGGTTGTCTCAAAATATTTAGATCCTCACTCACACCCTACCTCCAGCACTGCTTTCAGTGGCATTGGGTGTTTCTATTTATCTTTGTAAGAGTCCAGTCCTTAAAAATCCCCAGCAATCCTCCCAAGCATTCAAGTTCCATGATCCTCAATGTAAAATAATTACACAGGCTAATTACGCGTTATGAAAGCAAAGCGTCTTTGTAATACATTTTTGGCTTGTTGCTATTCACCATCATTGACTGTCCCCTTGGGTCTTTGCTGCTGTTCTGGAGAAGAATAAATAGGCGGCATCAAACCTAGCTTCTGCCATTGGTATTTGATGCATCTGCTCAATGTCGTCACTTAAGACTGATCCATGTAGAACTTCTGTGGAGCGTATATATTTATTGAATACATCAGTAGTGGGTTGGGTTTGGGGCATATCTTGTTCTCCTGATATGACCTTTAGAGTGGTTGGAGTTGTGTTACTACCAAGGGTAGCAGCAAGTGGTTTATTCCCAGGTATTGGCTGGGCTTTGCTGGTGGTGAGCAAAGACGCATAATCCCTTACTGGCAGAGTTTTCCTAGCAAAGACTTCTACTTTGGCTACAAGTGAACAGAGTAGCTGGCAACGATTTTACTGCATCCCGTCCAAATTAGAGTTTAAGTGTCGTAGCTGCTGCTCACGCTGAGATGTGCCAGGACACTGTTTCCTACCAGAAAACCTCATCACCTTCTTCCCTCCTCCACTACGATAAAATCTATGAATATAAGCAAATTTTTATGACACCCCTGTTTCCTAGATGATGGAGCAGAATGGCTATATTGATACAAGTATACACTTAAAACACAATGATTTTTCCATATAGGGGAGTTCACATTTTTTGGTTCCCAAACCTGCTCCAGTATCGCTGCTCTCCCTCGGTGCTAAGTCCCTGCCAGGACTCATTGCTGCCTCTCCAGCCCCAGCTCAGCTCCTTTATTGGTATTTCTGCCTCGGTGGGGGAGATGCCAATGAGGCTGAAGGGAAAAGAAGAGCTGATGTTGTTCATTTGACCTTTATGAATTGAAATTCCTGTCTCTCCCCAGGGGAGTCAGTGAGTGAATGAAACAGCAGCGGCACAAGAAGGGGCTGCTGGAGCAGCATCAGCGGTTTGGGGAGCTGAGCTGGAGCGGGTGGAAAGTCCCTTGCTCAAACTCTCACCTGCTGTGAAATGTGTTTCCAAACCTGTCTGATAAAAGCACCTGCGAAGGAAATGCTCTCATCGCTCGCTGCTCTCCTGTGCTTCACAGCCACAGGCTTTTGCTGTATCTGGACCAACTTGATTTGCTTTATTTAAATGCAAAGCTGCGCTCCCTTCCCCTCCTTGAAAGAACCTCCAGACATTCCTATTCAGTTCTGCCTAGCTTTGGTGTCATTTTCCTTTGCTTTAGGTAAACTTGCAGTGGCAGGAAACATTTCTTTCCTAGGAAGGAGTCAGCTGTGCTCCCCTTTCTCTCCTGAGCACGTACACAGGATTGGGAATAACAATTTATTGTGATAACAGTTTAACAGCTTAAAGGAGTGAATGGTGCAGTCAGGACCAGCGGGGGCGGTTAGCAATTGGGTGCCAACTCCTTGGGCTGATCCAAGCTTGAGTGCTACAAACGGCAAAGCAACCCTGTGAGTGCTCCGAGCTCGCTCCGCTCGAGTGCTTTCTGCTGGGCTGCTTTGGAAAGACCTCATCTATTTATTATGAAGAGGCTTTCCCATCTGCTCAGGTTTCCCCTTCCTTCCCCAGGGCAGTGCCGTGATGGGAAGCGGTCCTGCAGCTGCAGGAGGATGCTTTGCCCCGACGGGTGAAGTGACCTTGTCCCTCCCTGATGGGCTTTGTGGCAGGGCGAGGTGAGAACCAGCTGCGCACAGACCCTGGGGAGCTGAAATCATCAGGAAGACAAATTCGTGGTCGGAGGCAATCTGCAGGCTGGGAGCCCTTGGGACAGGCACCTGTCGACCCTGGACAAGGGATGCTGATCCTTGCTGCATTCGTTTTCAAGCCTAACCTGGGAATTTCTTGGCTTCCAGATGTTTGGGGGTGCAGCTGACCTGACTTTTCTAATGCACCACATTGACCTCAAGTCCAGCCTGGAACGATTTCTTCCTGGAGGAGAAAATATTCACTGCTGCTGAGGAAAGCAGCTTTTCTGATGGAGTGGCCAATTATGTACGGATGCCCATGTGTCCCAGCACTGGCCAGAATCAGGGGCTCACCGAGAAGTATTTTTGACGCACATCTAACATAGCAGGTTAAACCATCACGCCTGTGCGAGGAGTCTGAATGCCAAGGGACATCGCCCTGAGTTGGGGCCAGTGTGCTTAGAAGATGGGTAAATCAATGCTGATAAGAGGGCAGGACAAGGGAGCTTTGTGGGGCTCAGCTGCTCTGCTTCCTGGGATGAGGGTTTGCTCACAACGCCTGCACCCCATGAGCATGGTGAGCATCACCCTGGGTCTGTCTGCACCCCACTGCTGTGAGCAGAGACCTTTCCAGATCCTGGAACATGCATCGGAGAGTGCTGGCACCCTGGTGATATCATTGTCCAGCCATGCATCCTCATTAAAAAGTGTGAGATTAAATAATGAAGGGACTGGTGACCCGAGAAGAAGAAGAGCCCACTCTGGGCTGTTTTTTGGAGGAGGGATGCCTGGAGGAGAGGGCACGGGCACGAGGCAGGGCCGCTCCGTGCATCCAACTGATGCCCTGCCGAGCCGCGTGCTGGGGGACCACTGGGCTCATGGTATTGGCATGTGCCATTTCCCAAGGGTTACGCAGACATTAACAAATTAAGTCGCATGGCCCTCGCTGCAATTCTCATTAGCGTCATCCTAACAACTCTCTGTGCTAAATAGCCTCGAAACAAAGTCTCCGGTTTTGTAAATATCCCTCCCTAGGAATCACTGCCTGAATCAGGCAGGGCTTAAATGGACCCCAAGGATGAGGGCTGGCGCTGAGCTCCACTTACCAAGCAGCAGACGTAAGACAATTAGTTTCATCTCTACCTCTTGTTCTGTGCCCCCTCCTCAATCTGGAAGTGGCTCTCACATGCACCAGCCCCATCCCAAATTAATGAGTTACTCAGGGATGACAGGTCGGATGCGTGGAGGAGCTGGAGATTTTGCAAATCTGAAGCTTGATGCGTTGTTCTCCCCTGTCCCAGGGTGATGGGCACTGAGATGCACTAAATCCTGCTTGGATTCGCTCTAATAAATCCCTACCGAGCAAAGCCCAATCCTTGCAGAAAGCAGCACCCACTGCTTGAGGGTGGCGGCGATTGCAGGACATACCCATCAGCAATGCCATGGCAGAAATTCTCCCCCCTCTCTGCCCTCTCCCCTGGGCTCGGGAGGTTCCAGCAGTGGGTAGCAAAGGCCGGGAGCTGGGCACGAGGAGGCTCTGGGACCTGCCTGCTGCCCTGGGTCGTGCCACCAGCGGGTCTGTGCATCGCAAGTGGACCCTGCAGTGCTTGGCCGATGCTTCTGTGGGTCAGAGCCCACGGAGATGGACACGTGTTGCACCAGGGGAGGTGGGTAAGAAGAAAACAAATGCCATTTATCACGGCCTAACATGGCTAAGGACAGTCACCTTGCCGAGCAGAGTGATGAAACCTTCAGGGAGCAAAGCACGCAAGTGATGACCAGGTTTCTGGTCTGCACCATGCACTTCCACTGGCAGCCTTGCTCTCCCTCAGCTTTCTGCCTCCGTTTCTTGGGCTGGGGATGCTCCTCGCAGGGCTGTGGTGGCCTAGGCTCAGCCAGGCATTGAGTCAGCTGGTGCCAAGCTGTAATTTTTTAAGGAGGAGTTTTTAATGCTGCTGTTAATGGGAGCTGGGTGGTGGGCAGCCAAACGTCGGTGCTGGGCCACCGTGGCCATCCGTCACCCTAACGGAGAGAGCTGCTCTGAGAGGCGGGGACCGGGGCAAGCTGAGCAATTGCTTGGTGCCCACTCTGGTCTTCATTCAATCGTAGGAAAATGAACTCTGCAGCATCCCTGAGCTGGGGAGGACTTTTCTCCTTGTCCTCGTGAGCTCCTCTCTTCTCTCTCAGCCATCTTTCCTCCCCCAAAACCTGTCACTGAACCAGACCTGTCACTGCTGAGATGACATCCAAGTCACGTCTTGAATATAAGCTAAAAGCCAGTTTTGGCACAAACACATCTTGGGCCTGACCGAGTTGGATGCAAACCCATGTACGGGTGTTGAGAAGGAGTGAGCTGCCCATGACCCTGCTGGTCTCACCCAGCTCGGCTGAGCCAGCCCTGGCCATGGCCATGTCCCCAGAAGTTCCCCGTGGCTGGTGGCCTCCTAAAGAGCTCAATGTCACAGAGCTGGGAGGCCTGGGGGATGGAGGGTGACTGAGCCCTGAGCACATGGTGGCCACACAGCACTGGTGACGTGGTCTCTGCAGAAAGTCACAACCTCCAGTTGTCACCCCTGGGCAGGGGTTCTGGCAGAGGGGGGTGGACATAGGGGACAAAGCTTCTGGTGTCCCTGGGCATGGCAGAGAACGGGCAGCGTGGGAGCAGGGGCCGGGCAGATGTCTCTTTGCCCATCTCCCCCTTAAGCCCAGCCCAACAGACATTTCTTTTCTCTATTTTTAGCTCTTCTGAGCTCTGCATCTTCTACCTGCCTCAACCATCACCCTGCAAAGAAGCTGCTGCAGCAGCCAGCACGGGGCTGCAACGCAGCCTCAGCCCATCCCACCTCCCCCTAAAAAGGAGCTGGGCAGCTGCAGATCAGCCCAGAGACACCCCCCTACACCCTCTTCCAGCAATCCCTGCCACCGAGGTCCCCTGGGGATGGCTAGGGTGGGCTGGGGACGCAGGACACTCACCCGTGTGGTTGGTGACGGGCGGCAGGCTCTCGCAGTACTGCTCTTGGATGGAGGCTGCAACTGGGCTATTCCAGAGGAGAAACACCTGCACGGGGAGAGAGCAGACCACAGGCAGGGTTATAGGTGCAACATGCCCCCAGTCCCTCCTTGGACACGGCAGCGGGTGGGTCAGATCTGAGCTTGTCCACGTCTTGGTGGATGCCACCCTCCAAAGCTGCACGATGGACGTGTACCCGTTTGCAGGATGGGTTTCCCACCCCAGAAGAGCCGGGCTTATCCAGCCTGGGCCTGTGGGACTGATGCTCTCCGCTTTGTTTCCCACCTACCGATCCTCTCCTGCCCCAAATATCCCCCTCAGCAAACCATACTGCAGCCCTGCACAGCCCCTGCCCGGTCATGGAGCTTCTGCTATTTAGCATTTTAATCAACACTTTTAGTTTTAGCATCTTTGCATCCTGAGAGCAGACAGGGGAAACATGATGAGCCTGACACCACGCTCAGCTTTTCAATACCTTATTAAAATCACAGCCTTGTAAGCTGTCAGTGGGAAGATGTTAATACACGTCCTTAAGGAGATCTGATCCACAGTCAACCGGGTCTGGTTAAAGCCTTTTTTCGGGAGAAAGGCTTGTCGACAAACACTGACGTTCCCATTGCATTGGGAAGCATTGACCAGGACCTATCCCACCCCTTCTCCAGAGCAGCTCCCGGCGACTCTGCAGCTCTCCTGCAAGTGAAAACCATCGACTCTGTCTGCATCGGGAGCTATTTTGGAAAAGGTACTACTGAATTCTTGTGCCTTTGGTGGAGTTTGGGGAAACTAAAACTGAGGAAGGAAATTGCAAGTGGAAGGCAGCAGAGGGACGGTGCTGTGAGACCCAAGGCTCACCAGAGAGGCAGACGGGGGAAGGAAGGGACCTGCTCTTTCACAAGACACATAGATTTCTGCCAGAGCAGCTGCCCACTTTCTCCTCCGGCTCTGAGACGGGTGACACGGGCCGATCCCTGCTGCTCAGGGGACGAATGCCCATGGTGGATGAGGCCAAACTCCACTTCTCTCACCCCAAGCCTGCCCTGCAAGGACTGACCAGACCCCTTGGAGGAAAGCTCACTGCTGACCGACTGAACGGCAGAGCCGTGCCCCGAAACACAAGCCCATAGAGATCCCTCGGGGACTCACCCCTGAGCCTGCGGGCAGGAAAGGCTCAGTCCCCTCTACTTGCAGGCAAGTTCCCAGCTCCCCGGGGCGGCGGGCTCGGATGCCGTCCTGTGCTGAGCCAATACAATGAACAACAACCTCCGGCTTCCCCACCGGCCAGGCTGCCTGATCTCCCTTCCCGAGTGCTATTTACCTTCAAAACTGCTCTGGGTAGGGAGAAGATGGTCTTCCTCTTGCCCTTTAGCCATATAAACACTGGCTGCTCTTGCTGGCACACCCAGCAATCCCCTCTGCCTTACCAAAACCTTAGCAGGATTTATTCAGACACGGAGATGAGCTCAGCACCCACTTGCTCTTTTCCAAACAACTATTTACTGCCTTGGGAAGCTGGTTTTGACAGCAAGCGAGATGTCAGGCAGACGTATAAATGGAGCTGAGAATAGCTTCCTTGTTATGACTGCTCCAGATGGCACAGGGGATCCGGCAGCAAAACCCTGCCCCAAGCGCGAGCACTGCATGGAGCTCCTGTTGTGCTGGTCCTGCAGGAGCTGGGCACCTCCTGGGTCTCTTTCCCGAAAGCTGAGACCACCCAAACTCCAGACATGGGCTAAGCGAGGTGTAGCGGGGTCAGGTCCCCTCTGCATTGGTGCCCGCAGCTGGTGCCCACCCGACCTGGTGGCTCTTTGCACTGGTAGCTGGGACAAAAGGGGTCCTCCCTAAATGGTCTGGGATGGTTTGTCCACCTGAAAAGGCTCTCAAGTGTTAATTGGATGTGTTTCTCCTAAACGCAGCCTGCTCCAGCCTGGCAGTGCCCGTTCTCCTTCCAGACACAGGGAGAGGTCTTGGCACTGAGCAGCAACATGGACCAAGCTACAGCTAGCGGGGGTATGGATGGAGCGCAGTCTCTGCCTCTTTGCAGACTTTGTAAATGAGCTGAAACAGCTACTGAAGGAAGAAAGAAAGAAAAGAAAGGTTCCCCAAAACACAGCAAACCCTAACAGCTTTTTGACCAGGCTCCGAGTCTTGGCTCACTGCAATGTTGCCAATGCTCTCGACAGAGGCAGAGGGTTTTTCCCACTCCCATTAGTCCCAGCTCGATAAGCTGGGAAAGGTGGCAGCTGCAGGCAGATTTGCACAAGCCAAAAGCATCCTGATCTGGTACCCTGATGGTTGGGCTCTTGTCTGTTTTGCCCTTTGCGGGTTACTTTATCCCTTCCCAGGGCTTTGCAGAGAGAATAGGTCAAAGCTCCGTCCGTGAAGAGCTTTGCCTGCCAGAGCATCGCTGCCGTAAGATGCCATTCCCAGCCGGGCCGGGTTGGAGCCAAACCCACCTCAACAGCCTCAAAACAGCAGTGGGTCGTGCTCGGGCCAGAGAGGGGCCATGTCCTTCTGCCCTCCCAGCCCTGCTTTGACATAGGCTACGGCAAATCACGCTCTGCGGTGAAGAGCACTGTGACCTCTCTCAGGCTGCCAAAATCCTGGAGAGCTTCAGCTGAGCGTTCAGCTGCACGGGAAGGAAAAGCAATCTGCTTTTCTAGAAGCAGTCGGTTTGCACAGCGGTCCCGGTCAGCCCGGGGAGTTGCTCCCATGGGGACGATGGTTCTGCTGGGAGCTGCACGGGCCGCATGAGGCCCCGCACTGGCAGCAGCTTCTGCTCCCGCCAATGGCTCCACGGCCGTTGCCTGAGCATCTGCCCAGCTCCCTTCCAGGCTCTGCTAACGTCTCCATTTCACACACAGAGAGGCATCGCAGCAGACGCCGATGGTGCTGGGTTAACCTCGGACCTCACAGAGCACCAAGCTCCTTCCTTTCGCCCCCACATTTCCCGGAGCGGGATCAGCTGGCCCCCACCACTTCTCGCTGCACGGCTCAGACACCAAAACCTGACGCTGCTCCAGTGTTTCCTGCATCCCACACGCAGCAAACACCAGCTGCAGTCGGTGTCCCACCACCCACCCAGTCAAGGCTGTCCCAGAAGGGAAACTGAGGCACCGAGTACCACTCATCTAAGGTCGCTCGGGCCGTGCTGCCCCATGTGGGGCAAGTGGCTCCTATCTGAACCCACTAGCCGTGTCCTGCTGCAATGCCACTGGGTTTTTCGGAGCCATTCCCTGTGCCCATGAGGGGCACAGGGTAGCAGGTCCCCTGGACCAGGAGATGCAGCACAGTGGGCTGAGGCAGCATCAGCTCTTTGGCATGAGGGGGCTGGGGGGTCTCGCTGCTGGGATGGGTGTGAGCAGCAAAATCACACACACACGCATGGTGTCAGTCCCTGTGACCTGCCACTGACCTAGCAGCAAAATTCAATTAATAACAATTAGGAATTAATGTCCCCCTGCAGTGCTTTCCCTCTTCAAAGCAATCCACAGATATTAATTAATATATTCACATCCGAGTCAAACATCAACCCCCTGTGCTGTACTACCCAGAGACAGGCTTGTCCTCCCTTGATATCTCACTGCCTCCAACAAGATCAGATCTGCGTAGCAGGAAGGGCTGACAGCTCTGAGCAGTGAGATAGATGGCTCGTAGCCTAATTAGCAATCAAAGATGGGGCTTGGGTTTTCCACTGCCGACAGGGCTGTAATTGGAGATCGGAGCCATCAGCAGGATGAAGCAGTGTGAGCCAGTGGCTTTGCACAAAGCTGGAGAGGTCGGCGGGACCGATGGATGGTGATGGCCACACCAGCCACCCTGGAGTTGTCCTTGCTGTAGGGACCTTTCTCACCCATCAGTTCTGCTCCCCGCCTTGGCTGGGCTTGCTGCTCCCTGCGACACTTGGTGTGGAAGAAGAAAAACCTCCTGGGACACACGGGCAGGGGAAGGGCTGAGCACAATCTCTGCCCTGGACCTTCACTGAGGTTCCCCGCGGTGTTAGGCTGGGATCGAGCCTGCTGTTGGCCCCGAGCCTGCAGAAAGAGGTGCCAGGCTTTGGGTATTAAGTACAGTGAATGTTAAAAGAACTGGATGTCAACCTTGGATGGCAGAGCAGCATCAGCGGTGCGGGAAGGGAGGGCACGGAGCAACATGTCTTGTCGACACCACGGCTGTAGGCTGGAGGTGGCCTTGAAAAGACTGACCGAAAGAGCTGGCCCCTCAAATGTGCTTGGAGGTGGTCAGGGTGCCTCCAGCCCCTGCCGCCCAGCCCTCCCTGTCCCCTGCCTTCACTCCGCTGTGGAGCATCCCTTTGCCCTTGTCTCCTCTGACTTCCAGGCAGCTGGTGAGCTTCTCACCACCTCCACCTCGAGGGTTTTCACTTGGGAAAGTCCCATCCTTAGACAAAGCCATGAATGAAACCCCCAGGGAGCATCTGGCCCATAAAGGACGCCTCTACAACGCCCTGCCTTAGCCCTGACAGTCATCTGCTTTGCCATCCCCTGAGCTCAAGGTTTCTCCGAGCCCCCTGCTTTACCAACAAGTGCCCCGTTGCTGCTTCACTGGCTGTCGTGCAAAGCCGCATCAGAAGCCCTGCTAACGTCAAGGCATCAAGGCAAAGCGCAGGCAGCAGAACGAGGCTCAAAGCAAGAACCACAGGGGGATTTTCTGTGGCTGGTGTTACTCAGGGGGAAGAGCAGGCAGCGAGAATGCGTCCATCTGGCATTAAAATCTGTGAGTTTATTAATTTAGCCATATTAGAGGGCCAGCCCCTGTTGTGTGTAGACAGAGGCTTTGGTGTGAGTATTTATTCCGTTTGGAGTCTTTCTCTGAGCATGCTGGATGCAGATCCTAACAAAAGAATATCAATCAGGGCTAAATGAATGCCCTGTAAAACCTGATTTATGAGCAATTAAAGGTTTTCCTGGATTAAGCTCTGATCTGTCTCACCCGCCATAAATAATTCTGACTTCATGTATCTATCAAAAGGGGCGTGGATTTTTGGGACAGGTGAAAAAAAGAATAATGATATTTGGATATTGGGAGCTAAAGGCACAAACAAGCTGGGGAAGGGGACACTGCGGGAATCAAAGCGGCTCCTATGGCATCCGGATTTGCCAGAGCGAAGGCTGCTAAAGAAGAGTTGGAGTGATGGACACAAGCACAGGGGAGGGCTGTTCTTCTACGGTTTTGTATTAAAGTCTCCTGTAGATTGTACACGTGGGACTTGTGTGCATTCACAGATATTTTCATTTTGGGATTGGCGATTTGGTTTCCCCAGCTACCTCCCAGGACACATATCTCAGCTGCCCCACACCCTCTCCTTCACCCATCGCCTTTTTAGGGTCATACCCTGGACACCTATAATTTTCCTCCAGTTTATCTGTAGTCACAGCTAGGGAAAGCTTGGCCACACCAAAGCTGCATCTGCCATTGCCTTTCCAGGGTGAATAGTAGAGGATTTCAGGGTGGAAGAGGGTCTATGATTTACAAAAAGCCAACACCCTTTGCCCTCTGCCATCTGGATGGAGGCGATTTGCTTCTGGGTGGGTGACTCCTGGATAAAGCAGGACACCCTGCAGAGAAGGAGGGTCTCGTCTATTAGCTCAACATACACTTCGGGAAAAAAGGAAAAACAACAGATGGGCCTCTGGGTATGTTATATCATCTTCAGAAAGAGCCACCCGCGGAGTGACAGCTCTCAAGCGTTGGACAATGGCTCCTGGGCTCTGTTGAGGGAACCCCATGCTCATGATTTGTGCTTTCCTTTGGGGCCAAATACTGTTCTCCAAGATAAAAACCACAGATGCAGCCCCTCGAAACGCTGCAGGCTCAGACCTCAGCTTGAGCTAATCGCTCGCCACAAACTCCTGGGCCAGCCCTGTGTAGGATTTCTGGTGAGCAGAGCTCTGTTTCAGGGCAGGGTTGAGCCGGCTGTGCAGGTTATTCTCATTCTATCTCTATATATTCATCCTGTGGCGATAAGGCAGCTATTCTGGGAACAGGCTGTGCCATTTCCATTCACTTCTTCACTGGAGATATGAAACCACGGGAATGATTTCGTACACACTGAATCAACTCCGGCTTTTAAGGACAGCAAGGACTGGAAGAGATGGGCAGGGTCAGCGTGTCCTGCTACCCCAGCTCCGCATCTTACACGAGGATTTGAGCAGCGAAGGGGTAGGGGGCTGGTTTTTGGGCTTAGTGCTACTGGAGCTGATCAAGGGAGAGGGGAAACTGTCCCACCCCCAGCATCAAACTCTGTTTTTCCATAAAACGCTTCTGCAAACAGTTTTATCAGCCCCAGAAATGTCATCAGTTCCTGACAAAGCTGCAGGTGAACTGTTTCTTGTTAACCACTTGTGTAGTTTGTTTAAATGACTTGCAGGGTGCCAGAGAACATTTTGCAGCAAGGTTGGCTGCCTGTCTCCTGGTCTGTCTGTCCAACCCCCCAGGGGATGTCTACCCAGCAAGGTAAGGTGGGCAAATCCATCCTACACTGGAGCTGCTGGCCAGATGCGTGGGGAACACCTTCGCTGTGCCAGCCCAGGGATCTCCCGGCTGCAAAATTTGCCCAAGCAGGGGAGATTTGCCCTTGCTGAGCTCTCTGTCGGAGCTGGACTGCTGCAGGTCTCTGCCCTCGCAGGCTGGGCGCTGCTGTGGGTACGCCTGGCTGCAGGAACGCCTTCACTTAAGGTTGGAGTTTCACGGTCCTTTAGCCCATGCTGTCCCCTGGAGAGGGTTGGGATTGTGCTGGAAAAGGATCTGAATTTTGAACGTATATATTTATAAGAAAGAATAGATAGTTTGGCTGCAAAGGGGTGATCTGTAGATTGGGTGTTTCTTTTTGGAGCTGGCTGGGAGAGACTTCTCTTTGCTTGGGCTGGTTTTCATGACCCCCTCCTGGTCCCAGCCCCAGCGCAGGGGTGGTCTTGCTCTCAAATTCTGGAAGCTTTTTGGGGATTTTCCCCCATTTCTTCACAAGGACACCATCCCCAGGGAACACCTAGGGATGGCTAGGGAACCCCCCGAGCCTGAGGAGGTTTAGCAGAGGATGGGAGCGGTGTCTCAGCACTTTGGGGCTTTTTTTCTGCCCACTTTTTGCTCACACTAGCTATCGGGAGCTGTCACGCTCGCTTGGCTGTCCCCATCTCAGACCTTGCCCCTATTGCGCCAGGTCTGTGGCTTTGCCAACGGTGTCCCCACATATTGGCCAAGGAGGACCTGGGCTGGGGGGAAGAGATCCTGCCCTGTCTTGTCTTCATTTCTTACATCGGAATCAAACAAAACCTGAACCAGGGAATATAACCACAAGAGAGCTCCTATAAAACAGGAATAGGGGTGTACAGTTATAGGAAAAAGCAGCTGCTTGGAAGAGAAGCTTTTAAAAGCAACGCCAGCTTGGCAAGGAGGTCACCTGGTGCGTATCGGTTCTTCTCATCACTTAGGTGAGAACTTTCCTATCCCAAAGGTGCAGCTAAATTCTCCTCCCTGCTCTCACCGCCGGCGATGCGCAGTGAGAAACCAGCCCGCGGGGTACGGACCGCAACGGTGCTAACGGGGAGGGCTGACCCTCCGCTTTTTCTGCTGTTTTAACTCTGCAGTCACAACTGGGTCACTGAGACAGCGTTTTGCAGAAAGCCAGGCTTTTTTTTTTTTTTTCTTTTCTTTTAACCCTCTTTGACACAGAGGTTTAATAAAAAACCTGATCATTTTGTAACTGCCTACATAGGTTTGTTCAAATGATGTTCAACATTGCACTGGAAACCTTTTTGTCTCCGTGTTTCCCCAGGGTTTGGGATTTAAACATGCTTTGGGCTGGGAACATTTCCTTTCTTGATGAGCCCTCGGGGAGGAGGAATATTGCTTCTGACAAAGCATTTGCATTTTGTGCAGAGCTGCAAAATTAGCAGTGGCTACAGTTCCACAGCAAGCCATTTAGAAAGGAAAGTCTTGCGCTTTGCGGGTGGGGGGAAAAATGAGAGGTTTCTTTAGCAAATCAGTTAAGGGGGGTACAATTAGGCATTGCATTTGTGTTGTCGCCATCCATCACACCCCCAGAACGGCCGCCCCCTCCCAGCAGCCTAAGGGAAACTGGTGGCAGCTGGTTTCACTGGGAGGTGCGAGGCCGGGAGGTGCTGGGAGAGCTGGGCTGTGCTCGGGAGGACCTGGCTGCAAGTGTCCCCCCTTTAATGATCCTTTCACTGACTCCAGCACCCTCCCCGCTAGTTTTTGGGCACCGTGAACTCTTGCCAAGCCCCTGTGCCTCGACTGGAGGAATTCTCCAGAGGGCCCTTTGTGTAGCGGTCTCTCCTTTTACTTTTCCCTTCCTTCAAAAGAAATGGAAAAGTCATCGCGGAGAAAGCGAGCGGTGCCGGGTGCGGAGGGGTGATGGGGAGGAAGGCAGCAGGGCCCTTCTGGGAGAAGAGGACTTAAAAGCATCTTACCTGCAGGAGGAGGAGGAGGAGGGCAGGAGGTAGGCTGGGCACCATCCTTAACTCCCACTGTGCCCAGCTCCCCCGGGCATGGCTGGCAGCGATCCCCACTCCTGCTGGGCTCCTTCTGCCGTCGGGGATAAAATCCTCCGGGCTTCGTGCGAAGGAGGGTGTCCGGGTCCCGGGGGGGCTGCACGGAGGCCAGCAGGTACCTTTC